TAATTTCATCCACACACACACACGGAGGCCTCATCGGCAAATAAAAGCAATTTTCGCCCTTGAAAAAAAAACCAGACGTACGTCACAGATTTAACAACTCGGCACAGAAGATGCGAGTTTTGCCCGTGTGTCCTCGTACCTCCATCTGTGTCGCACTCTGACATAGAACATAAGCCAGCATCGACAAGCACTGGAGGACAAGCACTGGAGGACAAGCACTGGAGGACAAGCACTGGAGGACAAGCACTGGAGGACAAGCACTGGAGGACAAGCACTGGAGGACAAGCACTGGAGGACAAGCACTGGAGGACAAGGACTGGAGGACAAGCACTGGAGAACAAGCACTGGAGGACAAGCACTGGAGGACAAGCACTGGAGGACAAGCACTGGAGGAACTAGGATTATATAGACACGCACAGTCCTGTCATCGTGTCTGCACATATTCACACACTTAGATATACCCATATATACCCATATATACCTTGTGGTGTGGCTCAGTATATACCCGTCTCCCTCTGCTAAGCTTTGAGTTCGACGCATGAGCATGACTCTTACACTACTCATAAGCTGCCGTAATGGCGTAGTTGATTACAGAAATCGAGCTGAGTAGTACCCCCTTCTAATGCTTCCTTTGAGAACAACATTTGTTTAGGTCGAAGGGAAAATGTTGTGCTGTTAACGCGATCAGACACGGCGTGACACGGCGTCTTTGATGGATTCAATGAAGGTTATCGTGACGATTTGGCTACTTCGTCGATAATAAATTCTGACCTTTCTTGGGGGGTTTCTTCAGGTCTTTTTAGTTCTTAGAGGGATGGGTGTGTGTGTGTGTGTGTGTGTGTGTGTGTGTGTGTGTGTGTGTGTGTGTGTGTGTGTGTGTGTGTGTGTGTGTGTGTGTGTTTGTGTGTGTGTCTTCTTGACTACTCAGTGTGTTGGAAACCATTAACCACCGAATCACTAAACTTGTTACTCTCCTGTATTGTGCCGTACTGGGTGGTCTATGTACTGAGTGGTCTCTGTACTGGGTGGTCTCTCTACTGGGTGGTCTCTGTACTGGGTGGTCTCTCTACTGGGTGGTCTCTCTACTGGGTGGTCTATGTACTGGGTGGTCTCTGTACTGGGTGGTCTGTGTACTGGGTGGTCTCTGTACTGGGTGGTCTCTGTACTACGTGGTCTCTATACTAGGTGGTCTCTGTACTGGGTGGTCTATGTACTGGGTGGTCAAAGTCCTAGATGCGTCCGTCACTTTTAACCTCAGAGGAGAAAGCCTGTCTGCCGTGTTTACACTTGTGTGGCAGGATGTCAATAGCCTGATCTTCACTACCTGACGAAACATTGGACATGGGGCTGGAGACGCCTGAGGTGTGAGCAGCCTTCATGTTGTCAAGCCAGTGACTCCCTGGGGATGTCATGGCCAGAGTCCCACTCACACGGTGACCCTTCGTCTTGCCCTTCGACAGGTAACCCGCTCCACCAATCATTGTTCTTTCCCGTATAACGATTGTAAGTTATTCTCAGCAAACATTGTAATATTGTTTCCTTTCACCTCATACACACACATAGGCTCAAGGCGTCGTCCAATGCTAAGACAGTCACTTGAGTTATCTTCTTCCTGGCTTTTAAACGACATTCTCCATCTCGACTGCTTAACCTTTACAGACGATGATGTTTTGAATCTTGTCAAGATACGTTCGTATATATATCATTTTAATTTAGTTTTCTTTGCGGTGAATAAACTCGATATTAGCCATTTTTCACGATCTGATAAACTCCTAATTTGAAGCAGTTTCCCCTAACAACAAAGGTTCCATTATAGAACATATAATCTCTAATCATAACCAGATCATCAGAGATATCCTGACCAAAAAAAAACACTGAATAGATAAAAAGAGGATAGAAGATTAGACATTGCCGAAGCGCTATATACCAAACAAACTTCAGTAACTATCATCAGCTTGTTAACATTCAACTACAACATTCTACAAGACCAAGACTGGACATCCAGCACACTGCCTCAGCCAACATGGGATATCAGGAGGTTGCAGGGGGGCATTTTGACTGGTAGAGCGTTGGTGGTAATGGTGGTTGAGGTGCTAGTAGTGGTGGTAATAGTGGTGACCCCAAGGTTGGCGGGCACGTGTTAGGACCTTTAAGGGAGTATGGACGTACCAAGGGCGGCGGGGAGGGAATCCGTAGCAAGTGAGGGAGTTAGGGAAGCCAGGGAAGGAGAGGTTATGTGAGGTTTCCCGCCACTGGATCAGCGCCTTGCTCCACCTTACACACCTTACGTTATCGCTTGCCAGGAGACTCGTCGACGCGAGGCAAGATAACTCTTATCGCCCTACTCTTTTTCGCCACGCGTTTCAAAGGCCCCAAACTCCTACAAGGAGGTAAATGGATCGTGAGCCGTATTGACATTGACCCTTGCCGTCATTTGAGGTTTTCTTGGTGATTCCTAGACGAACGATCGCCGTTAATGATGACTGATAGACGGGAGGAAAAAGTGCCAGACAGCTAGGACCAAATTCCCGCCTTTTTTCAGCCATTCATTTGAAAATTAACCAATAACCGTTGCTTCTCAGACGCTCGCGGGCCAATCAGCGTCCTTCTTTGTAGCATGGATCGCTGCAGACCAATGGGCGTCTCTGTTACAATCTTGTTTTGTTTTCATTTCTCGTCAGTTTATTCAGTAATGTGTTATTGGCGTGTGTGGAAAGTCTCTTCAGTTCTCGTAATATGTCAGCTCTTGTGACTGCAAGCTTTTGTGCACTACAGCAGCCTTCTGTATATAGAGTCAGTCATCACACACACACATCTACACACACACACACAGGCAGGCAGTGATGTGGTGGAGGCTGACTCCATACACAGTTTCAGGTGTAGATATGATAGAGTCCAGTAGGCTCAGGAATCTGTACATCAGTTGATTGACAGTTGAGAGGCGGGACCAAAGAGCCAGAGCTCAACCCCCGCAAGCACAATTAGATGAATACACACACATCTACACACACACACACACTCACACATCTACACACATACGGTGTGTTGTGGTTCTAGTGTGTGGTTTGGTCAACACATACGGTAAATATATGCGTCAAATACATACGACGTTCAGTCTGTAATCTGACATATATCATGGTACATGAAACCTGTAATTAGCGTCACACCATTGCTAATTCACTATTGAATCAGGCATGTGAACCCTTGTTACGGCCCTCTCGGGACGCAACGGGGTTTCACTCTGATGTTGTTAGAGGAAGATATATGTATCCGTTCCCAAGCCAGTAGTGGCTATCAAGGGATGAGATCCGTGACGCAAGTAACTTAAAAGGGAGTAGGGAAAGAAAGTTAAGAACTTATTATAATTGTCACCATCACCAATTAAATATATAAAATTAAAAAGTACACAAGGGGGAGGGGTATTAACACTTTACAAAGGGGATCATGCACAATCTAGTCTTCTGCAGAAGACTCTTGATCAAGAAGCTAGGTGCTGAGTCCGCGGTGCTTTCTTCGTGGCCTCAAGACGTGTCTTCTGAGAATGCCGAGCCTACCCTGGCCACAGGTCAGCCAAAACACAGGTCCACTGGGGGCACCGTCGTGGAGGCCGTCAACCACACGTCCAGCAGGTCTGCTGGCAGGTACTGAGCCACCAAGGCTGGTACGGCCACTCCACGAACGATAAAAGGGGTACGCCCTAGACAGGAGTCTCGTGTGATATCACAAATCACCCTCCTGTCCTCAATACCCCAGTGGATTATCGTCTCCAACAGTCGGTCCCGGGTAAATCCTTTCACTGCCACTCCAATGGCAGGCTAACACACCACAGTGTTCTTCCGGGGGGACGACGTCACAACAGCTGCAGCAAACTTCACAGTATGGAGACTGGCTGCCTCGGGTAGACTGACTCCACCTTCAACACAGTGGTCCCAGGTCGGCTCTGTAAGCAGACACGTCATCAATAACAGGGACACTAAAACACCACACTTACAGGCTCAGACACAAACACCTGACGTATCCAGTCCATAGATGGCGCTGTCGTCGGAGCACCACCTCACCAGAGGTCAGGAGCGGCGGTGTTGAGCGCTGAACCAGACTGGAAACTGGTCCTCGAGGCCAGTACACGCTGTCCTCACTAGGTGTCGTCGTCCGTTTGGCGGGGGTTTCGGGAGCTGACCCACAGATGGCGTAGTTGTCACTGCTCCTTGCTCGGACGCTGGATCCGGGTTCGTAACAACCCTATACTCGAGATACACGTTAATTATTTTTTTCATTTCATTTTCTCCCTCCATTTCTCGTCTCTTACTCTTATTGCTTCCATCTTTTATGTCTTCCTCCTAATCATCCCTCTGTGTCTTAGCCTTAAGGCTCGCTAACGTAGACTCTCAATATGAAAGTTTAAAGATTAAGTTGGTACATAATCACCTTACAGATCCATTGATGAAGATTAGGTCACCCAAAAGGTGGCACGGGCATGAATATCCCCTAAATCATGTTACAATGTCTTTTCCATTAACATAGAGCAAGAGCGCCTCACCGAGCTCTGGTTCTCCTGAGGTGGTGGGGGCGTTCCTTTAGTGCTACTGCTCCTTATACTTATTCTTAGCTTGTTTAGCCTGTTTTCTTAGGTTTTCTTCTCGTTTACTCTTTTTTTCTTAGTTTTATTATTTATAAATAGTTCCCCTATGTTTGTTTATATATTAGCTCATTTATTTTATATCTCCTTTTCTTTGTATTAATCTCATTTTTTTCATATTATCTCTCATTTTCTTTGTATTATCTCTCATTTTTTTCATATTATCTCTCATTTTCTTTGTATTATCTCTTATTTATTCATATTATCTCTCATTTTCTTTATATTACCTCTCAATTTCTTTAATTTCCCCCCCCTTTATATTTTCCATTTTCTTGTTTTTGTCAGCCTATATCCCCTACAAGTGTAGTATATTCTCCCGGAACTTGAGTCACTCAGATGGTCCTCAATAGTTTCTGTTTTGCAGGATGAGGTGAGGGCGCCGCCGCCCCAGAAAGATGGCGCGGGAAGAGCGCAGAAGGCCAGCCACCACCACCACCACGTGCAGGCGTAGTACCACCAATAGTACCACTGGCAGTACCAACAGCTACTCCTGTAAAGGCAGGATACCAGTGAGACGGTACCGGCATTCCCGGTGAACATCTGGCTCTAGCATCGTCACCTGCTTACACAGGATAGTACCGAGAGTTCGACGTTAGTGAAGGGAAGGTTAAAGTGTTGGAGGGCTGGTGACAGGTGAGTGATGGCGGGGGTTCGTCTGTCTGCTTGTCACTGTCTACACCAACATCTCTGTCTCCACCACTGTCTGTCTCTCCTCCGCAAGGCTACCGCGCCACCCCACTCCATAGCAAAGTAGTTGCTCACATTCAGGTTCGACCGACCGCCAGTGATATTCTTGGCCAACTCAGGGAGTATATCTTTCGGGAAGTTTGTCGCTCTTTATATTTTGCTGTGATGGTGAAATGAGGTGTGGTGTGTGCTGGGAGTGGCGGAGCTCCCCTGGTGTCATACCTGCTCTGCCCCGCACGCTCCTCTACACTCAATAAAAGCTCAGAAATGTCAATGACGAGACGTCTCTCCACGACATCGACGAGGCAGTGGCAACGAGAGACATTGCGCGACGTGGAGGAGTCGGCGTCCAGCGCTCGTGTGATCTCGAGGTCCGTCACTCACCGCTCCAGATAACAGTGAACGATCATGTTCTTACCTCGTCAAGTGTGTGTGAGAACTCCGAGGTCAGTGCTTGTGGTGTGCAGGAAGTGAAGTGGCGCCACACCATGTGACTGGATGACCCCAGAGGCGCCGCTCCACTAACTCTCTCCGTCACCTCTTAATTCTTCTCCAAGACCCCACACACTCGCTCGCTGCACTCTCACTCTCTTGGCTACCTTCACTCGCCAGTCCTGGATTACGAGAGTGATATGTAAGCGCCGCGTGGAGTGTCATGCTCGAGCTACAACTCGCCTTTGCAGCTTTCCCTCGCCACTCACCTCCTCACCACCTGCACGCCACCTGCCTCGCCACTGCCGCCAGTGGCCGCTGAGTGACAGCCCGGCGATATGGTAGGCGCTGCAGGGCTTGACACCGGGCTTCTGGGGGGCGTTGTCATCGGGGAAGATACGGTGGAAGGAGAAGTGGAATTGGGTTCCATCCCCCTGCTGGAGACGCCGTCGGGAGAGCAACCCCAGCAGTCGCCGCGTCTCCTAGGCTACGGCGGAGGCTACGCCGGCTACGGCAGCGGCAGTAGCGGCTACGGCACGGGCTACCCGCCCTACGGAGGCGGGGAGTTGGTGATGATGGCTGGTGGTACCCACGTGGGGGTGGAGAGCTTGGCGCAGGCCTCCGTCATACTCGTCATTGGGGTCGCTATCATCATCTCCAACATCATCATCCTTGCCACCTTCATCACCATGCCAGGTAAGCGCACTCGCGCACGCTTACACCGCTCATTATAAGCGTGCGCTTACAATACATGGGTGTTTCTCGATATAATACATCAATATTTATGGGGACATCCGCATAGCTCTCATGCGGACATCAACTCTTGTTGTTCTTACTATACGGACAGTCTTGTCTAAACTTTGATAGATTAGGCTATGTCCGTTTTCGTTACGCTAAGTTACAATAAAATGTGGTAAATAATCATATATATTTTTGGTTCTCAGGGCGTCGGAGGTATTGGTGTATACTTGGAAGTATATATATACATATATATATATGTCGTACTTAGTAGCCAGAACGCACTTCTCAGCCTACTATGCAAGGCCCAATTTGCCTAATAAGCCAAGTTTTCATGAATTAATTGTTTTTCGACAACCTAACCTACCTAACCTAACCTAACCTAACTTTTTCGGCTACCTGACCTAACCTAACCTATAAAGATAGGTTAGGTTAGGTTAGGTAGGGTTGGTTAGGTTCGGTCATATATCTACGTTAGTTTTAACTCCAATAAAAAAATTGATGTCATACATAATGAAATGGGTAGCTTTATCATCTCATGAGAAAAAAATTAGAGAAAATATATTAATTCAGGAAAACTTGGCTTATTAGGCAAATCGGGCCTTGCATAGTAGGCTGAGAAGTGAGTTCTGGCTACTAGGTACGACATATATATATATATATATATATATATATATATATATATATATATATATATATATATATATATATATATATATATATATATATATGTCGTACCTAGTAGCCAGAACGCACTTCTCAGCCTACTATACAAGGCCCAATTTGCCTAATAAGCCAAGTTTTGATGAAATAATTGTTTTTCGACTACCTAACCTACCTAACCTAACCTAACCTAACTTTTTCGGCTACCTAACCTAACCTAACCTATAAAGATAGGTTAGGTTAGGTTAGGTAGGGTTGGTTAGGTTCGGTCATATATCTACGTTAATTTTAACTCCAATAAAAAAAAATTGACCTCATTCATAATGAAATGGGTAGCTTTATCATTTCATAAGAAAAAAATTAGAGAAAATATATTAATTCAGGAAAACTTGGCTAATTAGGCAAATCGGGCCTTGCATAGTAGGCCAAAAAGTGCGTTCTGGCTACTAGGTACGACATATATATATATATATATATATATATATATATATATATATATATATATATATATATATATATATATATATATATATATATGTTTGTGTGTGTGTGTGAATCACGTAAATTAACACGTGATGAAAAATGTGAGTGTCAGACCACGAAGAATTGAAACAGGAATTTCCTTAAGTACTTTCGTATATTAATACATCTTCCTTCATTCCTTCATCATTCCTTCTGAAGATGTATTAATATACGAAAGTACTTAAGGAAATACCTGTTTCAATTCTTCCTCCGTGGTCTGACACTGTCACATTTTTCATCACGTGATAATTTTCGTGATTTACACACAATATTATCCGTGCAAGTAAGACATAATTGTGATGATCAAATCACACAGAAACAACAATGTTTCATTCCGTCCTGGACGGAATGTGATAGACAAAGAGGATAGAGAGTCGTGTGATAGAAGGATAGGAGAGGCAAATAAAGTAAAAAAGAGTGAGATGAAAGGTGAGGAGCAGGTAAAAAGAACACAAAAGGAAATAAAAATAAAAATAGGAAGGTAAGAATGAGTGGGAATATAAGAATTAAAAAAGGGGGGCTGAAAAATGATTTATAAGGGGTAAGGGATTTATAAGGATAAATGGTTTATTTGCCTGTCCTTTCCTCTCTTCTTTCAAACGAATTGATAATGGTCCGGGACGGACCGAAACGTCGTCGTTTCTCTATTTTCTGATGTGTGATTTGGTCACCACATCTCCAGCCCCGTTACTGCGACGCACCGACACCACAAACTTCCCTTGATACCTGTGTGTGTGTACCCTCTAACGTCCTCCTCCTGGTCGGCAGGTCCCAAGGACGTGATCATGTACTACCTGATGTCACTGGGAGTGTCTGACCTGGTGGCCGGGGTGGTGGTGGTGCCCTTGAGTGTGTACCCGGCCTTGGTGCAGCGTTGGGTGTACGGCGACGCCCTCTGCGGTCTCGCCGGCTACCTCGAGACCACCCTCTGGTTCGCGCAGCTCTGTACCTTCATGTGGATCAGCGTTGATCGCTATCTGGCTATACGCAAGCCACTCAGGTCAGTCTGCCTTCGTGTCCTCTTCCGTTGGGGCTCCTTCACATCCTCCTGGGTCTTGCCTCCTTCACATCCTCCTGGGTCTTGGCTCCTTCACATCCTCCTGGGTCTTGCCTCCTTCACATCCTCCTGAGTCTTGGCTCCTTCACATGCTTCTGGGTCTTGGCTCCTTCACATCCTCCTGAGTCTTGCCTCCTTCACATCCTCCTGGGTCTTGCCTCCTTCACATCCTCCTGGGTCTTATCTCCTTCACATCCTCCTGGGTCTTGGCTCCTTCACATCCTCCTGGGTCTTGGCTCCTTCACATCCTCCTGGGTCTTGGCTCCTTCACATCCTCCTGGGTCTTGCCTCCTTCACATCCTCCTGAGTCTTGCCTCCTTCACATCCTCCTGGGTCTTGGCTCCTTCACATCCTCATGTTTCCCACATATTTCTCTACCTCCTAATGTGTCCTACATCTTCCACCTTCTGTTACTTACCACTTCGACTTTCTTGAGCTTCCGTCCACAAACTTCTCCAATTCACTGTGATAACTTTAGTATCAACAAGTTCAGTAAACTCTAAACTTCTACATATATTTTATTTTAGATTGTTTAGATACTAGTAAAAATTAATCAAAAGTTTTTTTTAGAGTTCATTTATAACCAGTCTATTTAAATTCTCCCTTATATACTCTATTTTGGTTATTGTTTCTCTATAGTATTGTTAATGTTTTGAGCACACCTGACTGAAGTTTATGTGTATAATGGTTTGGTTTAGACCTGTCAAGCTGTGGAGGGGTTATTAAGGTCACCACAAATGCTTACTGACCTGGGGCCAGATTCACGAAGCAGATACGCAAGCTTATACGAATCTGTCCATCTTTTCTCAATCTTTGGCGGCTTTGTTTACAATTATTAAAGAGTTGATGAGCTCCGAAGCACTAGGAGGCTGTTTATAACAATCACAACAGTTGATTGGGAAGTTTTCATGCCTGTAAAATGTTTAATAAATGTAAACAAAGTCGCGAAAGATTGAGGAAAGATGTACACGTTCGTAAGTACTTGCGTAACTGCTTCGTGAATCCGGGTTCAGGTAGTAATCTACAATTCTCTATCCGACCAAATAAAGCTATATATTATTCAGATTAAAGCTGCACACTCATATATAAACATAATAATGGAGGCTATTTCCAGATGTTGTTGACTAAACTTGAGTATGCTTGCAGGTACGAGACTGTACAGACTAAAACGCGGTGTCAGTGTTGGGTTGTGTTCACCTGGATAACCTCTATGATGCTCTGCTGCCCCCCGCTGCTTGGCTTTAACAGCTCGTCCCACTGGGACGACGAAGCCTTTGTCTGCTGGCTAGACTGGGGCAGCATGATAGCCTACGCCTTCACCCTCATTCCCATGGTGCTGGGACCTACGCTCATTACGCTCTTCTACACCTACGGCTACATCTTCAACACCATGCGCAGGCTCAAAACTTGCGTGGTCGGGCAGGATAAGGAGTTCATCACGGCGCTCACCTCCAACCTGGCTAACCCGGACCACGCCATGTCTTTCGTGCTGGTGCTTGCTTTCTGGCTGTCGTGGGGCCCGTGCGTTGGCGTGAGGACCTATGAGTACATCTCTGGCCATCACATCGATGTGAGATTCCTCCATTTTGCAGTGTTTTGGCTAGGAGCTCTTAACTCCTGCTGGAAATCCATTATTTACATTGCCATGAGCCCAAAGTTCCGACGTGGCCTGAAGCTCTTCTGCCTCTCGCTGTGCTGCCAGCGGAAGGCCCGGAACGCAGAACTCATCATGGATTACTAGATCAACCCAGGACTTCCGTGTATAACTTCTTCCATGTGTTCCCGTAACTTTAGCAAGTAATGATGCTTTTTTAGCGTGTCGTGTTAGTGATGAGCTTTAGAAGACAGATCGCGGGTGAATGCATTTAATGCTCAAGCCATCAACTCGAGCACTGGTGAACTGCTGCTTGAGTAATGATCAGTGCTGGCTTTATCCAAACAAAAAAATAAGTATGATTTTTGTACTTGACAATCTTAGGGTGAATGTTAGTGTGTCTAGACTTCGCTGAACCTCACCCGAGGACCGGCGGGATTACACATTGTTGTCTATCGTACTGTTCGTTCTTGTTGGGGTGTTTGCGTGTGATAGACAGGCTTAGGGTTTCATAAACATATCAGTGTCTCAGATCTAGCAGCGTCCAGGGAACCACTATGGGCGAATATCTATATATTTTTTAGATTTGTGTGACTGCCTTTTTTTAAATGATGCATTTGTTCTTGATTAATGACCTACTCGTGTACATTCTCTGGCAACTTGTGAATGTTTCATAGTTTAGATGTGATGGGAAGTCTCCAGCACCGGAGTGGATAGGCACAAGTGGTGTGGACTAATGGGCGTCCTTGTAATGATTTCCTCTCGACCATAACATTGGTTATGCCATCTGTTACTGCGGAGGGCATAGTAGGGGTGAATTTGTTTCTGTTAATTTGACATATATATTAGTGTAGCCCTCAGGTCAAATTCCACTGATAAACCCTGAAAAGTGGTTAGTTGTTATTTAAATTGGTTGTACCTTGTTAGGAATTAGATGGCATGAATATCATTGCAATTTTTCCATACCTTTTATAAAATATATGCACACACACACACACACACACACACATACACACACACACACACACACAAACACACACAGACACACACACACACACACACACACACACACACACACACACACACACATACACACACACACACACACACAAACACACACAGACACACACACACACACACACACTCACGGGGTGGGGGTGGGGGGCCCTCGCGGCTGAGTGGTTAGCGCCTGGCGGGTCGTAGTCCTAATGGCCCGGGTTCGATTCCCGGCGGAGGCGGAAACAAATGGGCAGAGTTTCTTTCACCCTGATGCCCCTGTTTATCTAGCAGTAAATAGGTACCTGGGAGTTAGACAGCTGCTACGGGTTGCTTCCTGGGGATGTGTGTCTGTGTGCGTGTGCGTGTGTGTGTGTGTGTTTTACAGAGAAACATATGTAGTAGGAAAAATGGATTGGTTAGAAAGGCGGGGTCCAAGAGCTAATAGCTCGATTCTGCAGACACAAATAGTAAATACAAATAGTAACACACACACACACACACACACACACACACACACACACACACACACACACACACACACACACACACACACACACACACACACACACATATACAGCATCATTCCGTGTACTTGTACTCTATTGGATTTAACAAAATTTCTGTTTACTCTAACAAATAATCATAAACATGCGATTATATTTTAAACACAAAAAAAGGAATCCTCCAAAAAATAACTTTATTAAATGTGTCATTAAATAAATACAGAGAATTAAGTAGTCCACGCATCAAGTGTCGAAACCTAGTCACTTGTAATTCCCGAATAACACTAAACATCTGCCAATAACACATGCCCTGAGGCCCTGTAAACACCTGTGGTAAATATGAGTGGTTTTCTTCCTATAAATGTTGGTATTATACTTCTAATCATAATGAAACTAATGGCCCCCCAAGCTTGGAAAGCCTCTCATGAAATTTTCAAAAGTAAATTCTTTACAAAATGTGGCCAGCCATGTTGTTCTTTGGAATTGTTATCATTGAAAGTGTATACAATAATCCAATATGCTTAAGGTTGTGTTCATCATTCTGGTAAATGAATATTTTGTACAAAAAAATAAACTTTTGTAGTGTGTTGACATTCGTGGTCAGCCTCGTGTTGATACACGTGGTTTGCCTCGTGTTGACACACGTGGTCTGCCTTGTGTTGATACACGTGGTCTGCCTCGTGTTGACACACGTGGTCTGCCTTGTGTTGACACACGTGGTCTGCCTTGTGTTGATACACGTGGTCTGCCTCGTGTTGACACACGTGGTCTGCCTTGTGTTGACACACGTGGTCTGCCTTGTGTTGATACACGTGGTCTGCCTCGTGTTGATACACGTGGTCAGCCTCGTGTTGATACACGTGGTCAGCCTCGTGTTGATACACGTGGTCAGCCTCGTGTTGATACACGTGGTCAGCCTCGTGTTGATACACGTGGCCAGCCTCGTGTTGATACACGTGGTCTGCCTTGTTTTGATACACGTGGTCTGCCTCGTGTTGACACGTGGTCTGCCTTGTTTTGATACACGTGGTCTGCCTCGTGTTGACACGTGGTCTGCCTTGTGTTGATACACGTGGTCAGCCTCGTGTTGACACACGTGGTCAGCCTCGTGTTGACACACGTGGTCAGCCTCGTGTTGACACACGTGGTCAGCAATCGTGTTGACACACGTGGTCAGCCTCGTGTTGACACACGTGGTCAGCCTCGTGTTGACACACGTGGCCAGCCTCGTGTTGACACACGTGGCCAGCCTCGTGTTGACACACGTGGTCAGCAATCGTGTTGACACACGTGGTCAGCCTCGTGTTGACACACGTGGTCAGCCTCGTGTTGACACACGTGGCCAGCCTCGTGTTGACACACGTGGCCAGCCTCGTGTTGACACACGTGGTCAGCCTCGTGTTGACACACGTGGTCAGCCTCGTGTTGACACATGTGGTCTGCCACGTGTTGACACACGTGGTCTGCCACGTGTTGACACACGTGGTCTGCCTTGTTTTGACTCCAGTCCAGCCAGTTGTGTAACAGAGCTCAACAACCAAACACTTTTGATAAAGAATAAGGTTTGTAAACAAATAATTTCAACCCACACGTATGAAAATGTCTTTAGGTGGTTTATTTATCATTTTCTCTATCCACATGTAACTCGCCTCCTCATTCTCCCTTCTCACCTCACTTTCTCTCTCACCTTAACTCCTCTCTTACCATTTAATGGTTACCTCCCCTTTCTTGCTTGAGTTTCGACTTGATAAAGGTCTAAGATGTACCGAGAAATTGTCGCATATCCTACGTGTAGGTTGGGTTATTGTGTTCTCAGCCCCCGTTACTGTGACTTATTCTCTGCAATAAGGCTTATTTCTAATGTCAACAAATGTTACATAAATCAAAACTTTATGGTTTCAAGTAATATTATGTTCTCTTAATTTCTTTTTAATCTAGTTAGAACGATTTAAGTATTTGGTATACTGATTACTAAGAATTGTTGACTTGTTTATAAAAAATAGGATCATCAATGTAAACAAGTATTTGGTTAGGTGTACGAGATGGCAAATCAGTTGGTAATATTCTTGAAGAATTGTCAGTATTCATGCGGAGAGATGTCTTCAGAGAATAGGCACCTAATGTAAATCTTCGATATGCAAATATGAGTCTGTTATTTGTTATTGTTTGCTATGTATTAATGTGTAGCTTATACATTTTGGCACTATAGTGCCTATGAGTAGGCCTACATCCTCAGATTTGTTGTCAGGACCGTAATATCTATAATTAGAAGATATTTCATATTATTGGAGAGTGCTTTATACAGTTTCATTGTCAGCTTGTAACGTCATCTAAGATTGGTTGAAGGTTGAACCAATTGATTGAAGGAGTTGACCTTACCTTCAGTCCTCGCTAAACAAGGCAGTGGTTTAGTTCCTATTGGTTCCTAATAGGAACCTTTGGTTCTTTTAATTAGGAACCTAATAGGTTCCTAATTGGTTCCTTTAGTTCCTAATGGTTCCTTTTGTCCAGCACAGGAATGCTGTTAGGATTATCGAGGTGCCCCCTTAGCCAACGTCTTAAGTCTTTCCTAGGAGCTGTCTCCTGGTACCTATTTACTGCCAGGTTAATATAGACATCAGATGTGAGGAAGACGTTCCCGAACGTCTCGTCCGGGGTTCGACCTTGGGACCAGTTGAATTGAAATTGAAATAATTTTATTGGGGTAAAAAAACACATAAAGGGATGAGGGACCAGTTGGTTGTAGGCTTTTCATCTAAAGAATTTGTAGCTAAGCAAATGTTTTCGAGGTATCTAACAATCTTCCATTTCTTCGGCATGAAAATGGCCTAAAATAAATAATAAATAAATGAGAGCTATGGTTAATTATAGGTGTATATAATATGCTTGCCCTATGTACAAAAATATAATTTCAAAATGAAGGATAGAGTATTGACAATTTTCTATGTTTAGGAGAACTCTATCATAATAATAGGGGATATTAGAGAAGGAATAAGACTGATATATCGTGATAGCCAACATACTTGGCTTTGTTATATAGAACTATATGGGGGGGGGTTATTTACCTAATAGGTTAAGAGATAAATGTGTTCTTACAGAGGAAATATTGGCATGTTTGCCAACGATATATGCATATGATTTTTTTTTCGTGTGAGAGAGATAAATCATTATTCATGCACATTTTTTCACATTTATGAAAAACTAATTTTGTTTAAACAAATATATTATGGATTCTAATATCCACATTCATGCCATCTTTAAGTCAAGTGGCGTAGCAGGGCAGTATGTGATATACACAGCAATAGGCTACAAGTCATAGTTCTGACCAGTAACTGTTTTAGTGACAGCCTCGGTCTTGGCTAGAGGTACCTTGATAAGTCTAATAACTTTCCTGTTCCTGATATTGGTATACCTGGGTAATTTTGTGTTGCTTTGAAAAAAAATAGAATATAAGGCACCCGAGGGAGTGTTGTGAGGCTCTTATATGCGTTTGTAAGTTGTCTTCGAGTAGTTTCATTATTTATTTGATAGTTTAATACACAAGATTGGGTGCATAAAAGGTTCAAAGTCAATTGTCACAGGTTGTAGGCTTCCTCAAAATCCTCGGATGCAGGACAGGATTTTTCTTCTGTATTACAACTCTGTGGAGCTGGAAATTGTAGTTGGCAGTTCTTGGATCGCTTGTTTCGATAAGCCTAGATCCTTAAGAACTTGGCACTTTTACCACAGGCCATAACGGCTTGAGTGTCAGCCATCATGTTCTTTGACAGAGCAGGCCATGCTAGCCATATCTGTCAGCTTTTGCCTCGCTGCAAATATACCTTTTAGGCGTAGACTGGGATGGCAAGGTGAAGAGCCACTGCAATACTGAGGGTTTGTGGCCTGAGCTGACTGCCTGGTGCTGACATCGGGGTCGCTAACCCAATGTCACCTACACGGGGAACCATCACCGCTGTGAGGTGAGCTATTTCACGCTGTGTGGGTGCAGTATCGAAACACATTGTAGCTGCTCCGTCTCAAACGAGGCTGTTCCAGCTGTATTGCTTGTGGTCTTTATTTATGTGGTTGAAGTACTAGGGCTCTGAGGACAACTTACTTAGTGATGGAATTTAAAAAGCTAGGGGCCGTGGTACTAATTTGCCTTGGAAATCTGGTAGGATTTTCTTTACCAGGTCGTCTGGTTAGGGCTTCCTGACCACCTTCAGGGGTCAAGAGTTTTCTGAAGCATGTTGGCTTGGGGACCATTTAAGCTTGACGCACAAATGTTACTCATGCGGCCCCAGATGAAATATCTGTGATGTGATTTGATGAAATATCTGTGGCCAAAATGGTCACGAGAGCTGTCGGGTATTGGGTGTAGGTCAGACGACTTTCCAGTACTTTTGTACATTCTGTTGGTCGAGTGGTTGTAGTACAGGACACGCCAAGGGGCATGGAGGCCCTGGTTGACCGGGTTCGAATTCTTCAGAGGTCAAGAGTATATATATGAGAGAGAGAGAGAGTTATACAGTCATAAAACAAGATGGGAGGACGGTGGGTTCATTGATTATTCCTTGACTGATTTA